GCAAAGATTTGAAAAAGAGAAGGTATTGGTACAAGAAAGGTAGAGCAATTGGTAGGTTGGAAAATGATGTTTGAAATTGAGATTTACAAAGTGATGTCATTTTTGTTGCCTACAAGGCAGAGTGTGGTCATAGGAATGAGGAGGACCACAGAAAAAAATAGAAGAAAAAACATTCTTATGTGCATGGCTGGATATAAGAAGGTCAAGAAGAAGAGAGGCCAAGGTGTTGAATGGCTCATGTCTCTGCTTTGCTTATGCTTTGCTTAGAGGCAAGTAGAAGATGTGTACATCCCTTCACATGAATTGAGTATTAAATATGAGATGAGAGAACCCACCATCTTTCCAAGATGTAAATGCCTCATTTGAGTTAAGAAGGTTACATGTGATCTGTTTCAGTGTTACTCCAACTTGTTCTTTATGGCTAAACAAGTCTCAGATATGGTGCTCTTTATGGAACATCATGAAATATGGACATATTAAACTTAAAATAGCTCAACATAAAAATTTTTTATAATATCAGACACCATCTAAAACTAGATTCTAGCTTCCATAAGTGGAGTATCTGGTGTCAAAGGCTTAAGAGAAATACTATTCACTTACTTAATGCTTTCCAGGTACTGGGAAAAAGACACCCATCCCCTGTCTCTCATTCTTCCCTTGAGAATGATGTATATCTGATGCTCTGCCTAAATGGGTCTCCAGGGCTCTAAGAGGAAGGGAAGGAACTCCTGGCCTAAGAGAGGGGGGAACTAAGGAGCTCCATCCCCAAAAACTTGGTAATAAATGGAGATAGAGCTTCTTCCTCTTGGTGCTCTAGGAAGGGAATCTAAGGAGGAGTTCTGAAAAACAGGCCAGCCCTATCCACATTTCTAGGTAGATCACATGACAGCGTCAGGTAATTGTCTCATCATACCTGGCACATGTTTGCTCATTATTACACAGCTTCTTTCTTTCTGTTAACTAGTGGTTTAAAAAATCTCTTAAAGTGAGAAACATTTATATACACTTCAGAAACAGTAAGGAAACAGAGAGCCAGAAAGACCACATCCTCCTCCTGAGACCATCTTAGAGGGTGCTGGGTGGAGGATGACTTCAGCAGACCCACGTCAGTCATTTACAGTCTCTTGGTCCACTCAAATGGCTTATCTGAGTTGAACACTCTGAAATGTGAAGTAATTTAAAAAGAAGTCCATTTATTGCATGCATGGACCAAAAAGTAAGATGGAAAAGGCACCAGTCTCCCAGGCTCTACTGTCTATTCTGGGCCCCTGTAAATAAAAGACTCACACTGACCTGATGTAAGAGGCTGATGGGTACGAGAGAAGCACTGGATCCCACATCCTCATTCTGACAAGGTCGGACAAGCCCAACACCAGATGAGTTCAGCCCCCCAAGCACGTGACCCGGGCCTTGGCCTTTTCTATCCCCCTTCCTCAAACTCTAACTATTATTTTACTTCTGGGGATGCTCAGTAAACCAAAACGCTCATCTGTTGGGTCACATGAGCCACAGAACACTGTTTTGAGCTCATGATACATGTGGAGTCATTATTTGAACCTTGAACAATAGAAAGCCCTTTACTTCTGTCTTTTCCCAAGGGGGAGAAAATATCTACAGAAAAGATCTCCATGCATAGAATACACAAAGTGAAACATCTTCACTTTGCTCATGTTAACCACCAAGGTAAGATAATCACAACAATAATTAGAATGTTTAAATATCCTCTACTCAGAGAAGGAAATCCCCAAGAGGTAAAATCAACTGGCTTCTTGTCTCAAACCATCCTATTTTTGTAAAATCTACGTGTATGAATAAAAAAGATAAACACTAAGGTATGTATTAGTGGAATGGTGAATTATTAACATTTTGCAGGAAACCAAAATATTTCTCTCTAAAATGCTGAAAACTGTTGAACTTAAAAGGGTTGAAACGCAAGGCATGCTCTGCCCCTCCCCTCTGCCTTCCCTGCCCACAGGTGGGGCCCCTTCCCTGCATTTGCTTATCAGCTCAGAAGCAGAGCTCAGAGACCAAAGCCACTAGAGAATCCTGGAGCTGACTTTTCTGTTCCCGTAAATTTACCTTCCCACATTTTCCTGCCTTTTGGAATCCTGAAGACACTCTCTTCTTTGTCTTGTCACTGAATAGGATTTATGGCTCTTTGTTAAAATACTATTTAAGCAAGACCCCTGAAGCTACTGCCTTGAGAGAGAAAAAGAGTTTTGAACAGAGAGGCCTCTCCTGTGTCATGGGTACAGCACATGTTGATATACTTTTGCTTGTTTTTCTTTTGTTAGTCTGACTTTTGTTTTCAAGAGAGTATCTCAACTAAGAGCTTAAAAAGAGAAAGAAAAGAAATTATGTTTTCTCCCCTAAGGTTTGTAGTTTCTGTTTCCTGCTTTATCTGTATTTTCTAATTTTTTATAGTGAACAAATATTGCTTTTGTAGTAAGGGAAAAAAATCATCTTAATTAGGCTTTCCTTAAAAAATTAAAAATACATTTCTATGGCAAAATTTATCCCTTCCTCCCTCTCATTGCCATTTTCCCTCCTAGAAGCAACATCTGTTACTAGTTTCTTGGATAACTTCAATGACACTGTGCATGTAATAAGGACAGGAGGCAGAGATATTCTAGGCAGAAAAGGGCAGGTCTCCAACAAAATCCCACCCTCAAGCCTGAAACCACAGCCCTAAGTGAGAACTTATATCCCTGTTTTCCTGCTCTAATATTGCCTTTTCCTAAATCACCCATGGCCTGACACCACCCCACATCCTATGCCTATAAAAACCACAGACTCAGCTGGCAAAGAGGAGAAGCAGCTGGACATGGGGGACTATGGCTGGACATTGGAGAGAAGCGGCTTGAGTGCAGAGGGACAGTTTGATGGTGTAACTGTGAAGAAGAATCCGGCTGGAGATGGCAGGAGTTCAGGAGATTTCCTTCCTGCCCCACCCCTTTTTCAGCTCCCCTTCCAGCTATGAGCCACTTTCATCAGCAATAAAATCCCCCACATTTACCATCATTCAATTCATTTGTGTGACCTCATTTTTCCTGGACACCAGAAGAACTTGGGAGCCAAGTGTGCAAATACAAAAGTGACCACTGAGCTGTTAACACATAAGCTGTCCATGGGCGGCAGAGCTATAAAAGCAATGTAAGATGCCCCCCGGGGATTTAGGAATCACAAACACCCCACTAGATGCTGCCATGGGGCCTGCACAGAATTTGCTCCTGCCAGTGCCCAAAAACATTCACCCAAGCTCCTGCACCTGCTTACCTGCATGCTCCCTCCCACAGCGGTTGGAACACAGTGGGTCTCAGTGGGTCTGAGTGAGTGGAGTTCACCCCTACTGGCCCCAAAGTGACCGGCTGGTTCCAGTGCTTGTGCACTCCAGTTCCTGCCTTGTTCACTCATGCACTCCCTCCCATGAGGAGTTAGTGCTGCAGGCTAAGTACACAAGGCACCCCTGTCACGAGTCTTGCAAGGAGATCACATGTCCTGCTTCACATGTACAAATATAAGTGAAAATAAAAATTTTTGATTTTTCAAAACCATATTAAACCTTAAGTCAGGGAGTCAGGAAGGGCTGGCTGCTGAGGACGGAAATGTATCCTGGGGTACTTTTCAACTGCCTCTGACAAGCAGGTGGCACCAGGGTGAAGCAAGCAAGGCACTTGACTCAGGCACAAAATGTAAGAGGGTGCCAAATACTCAGTAATCAAGATAAAGAATATGTTAATGCAATATTTTAAGAGTCAAAATCAATGCAAGTACTTCATGAAGAACAAAATCAAGATAGGACCAGATTACTGTAATTTATTTTCCCTTTCACCTCAAGCTCCAATATGGCTCCATATGGCACTATCACTGCCAGTGGCAAGAAACCACGTGATAAAGAAGAGAGAGTGTTGGGGGTGGGGCAGAGAGAGAAAGGGCTCTGACCTACACTGACTGTTCACTTTGTGTCAGGACTATGGTTGACAGTTTCTAAACATTATTGATAGCAGGTGGAACTCATCTATCCCACAAATGATGGTTCCCTCTGGATGTAGGAAGCTCTCCAGAGTAACACTATGACCTTCTCTCCTTCTCTATCCCTGACCCCTCCACAAAAAGATGGAGTCAGCTACTTGTCTGGTGGGCTTGGGAGAGGAATTATGCATGTACAGCCCCGCCCCTTTCTCTCTCTGCCTAGTGGGCTGTTTCTGCCTATAGATGTATTCAGGAGCTACCTTGAGTCAACAATGGCCTCCCTTTCTTGGGGAATTGTCTCCCTCTGTCTAGAGGGAAGGCCCCTTGCAGCCATGTTCATACTGTATACTTGACCTTATGGCCATAGCACATTAGACCAGGGTGGATACCTGACCAAGCTGGACCAACTAGAGTCTCTCTTTATGGATCTGGAATTATGATCTAAAGAGAATGAATTTGGTATGTGTGGAATTAGCCCAAAGAGAGATGTAGTTCAGTCTGTGGCTGGCTAGGCTTTTAACAGTGAATCTAGAACCTGGGAGACAGCCACCTTTCCCTCACTATAGGGCAGGAGGTGGTCACTAATAAGGTGGTCTGCAACAAAGCAGACATGAAGATGGAGACAGGAAACAGTGACAGGTTCCCTGCAATTCCCAGGTCCTGATTCCAGACCCTTCAGAAGCTATGTTCATGCCATTGACCTCCATGAGATGCTCCTGTGTACTTAAAATAAGGTTCCTTTTCCAAGCCTAAGCTTGCTCGAATTGGTGTCTGTTACTTGTATCTGAAGAGTCCTGACCACTACAATCATCTGTGTTCATGTCATCGTTATTATTCTCACCCACAGTCATGTCATGCTAGCCCCCCCAGAGTCATCACTCTGCTAAATTGCTCTCCTGTGCTCTTTTATTACATTCCAGAGTTTTTTATCCTTTGGATGACTTAATTCCTCCCCCTAGCCACTGACTGTTGCAGGTGCAATTGGCTGGGGCTGGCATCATAAACAGCAAAATAATTTTTCCAGACAGTTGTGGGTAGAGAAAGGCAGATTTATTAGAGAAAGTAGAAAGATACATTGTAAGAAAGCAGTGGGCCGCACAGCAGAGAAGGGACTGTCTGCCAAGAGGCAGTGGCTGAAGGGAAATTTTATAGGGTCATGCTGGAGGGTCTACATGCAGACAACGTCATGCTGCTGGGGCTGCATGCTGAGCAAAGTACTTGGGAAGAGGAGGTGGCGCCAGCAGGTCGTTCGTGATTGGCAGTCTCTCAGAACAATTGCTCTTCCCTGCCTGGGTCCCCTTCCTTGTTGTTGCTTACTTATCAGGACACCACATTGACATCACCCTATTATTATTTTCCCTTATAAATATCCCCTGTAAATAATTAGAATTGTTTTGCATCATTTACTTCCAAGATTTATTAGTCAGTATAAGCAACACCAGCTACTATAAAAACCAACCCAAAAACTCAGTGTCTTAACACAATAAAAGTTTGTTTCTCACCCACACAAAGTTCAGTGTTCCTATTCAGGCACCTGGCATGGTAGGTTCTTGTCCAAACAGTGACTTGAAAATCTGGGATTCTTCCATTGTTTGACGACTCCATCTTCTAGGTCCCCATTGCCCTTTGCTTGGCTTCTTCCACGTGGCTGGGACTCCAGAAAAAGCACAGAGGATCACACAAGATGTTTTAATAACTAGACAAGTCTAGAGTGATGCACATCATTTAGTCAAATTCTAGTTCAGCCAACTGGTTCACCTAGATGCAAGGGGAATTGTGAGATATATATGTTCAATTGCATGTCCCAAAAGGCAGGAAGAGCAGGTTCTCTACCACAGGAAAAAGGATAATGTCTAGCTCTAGGGTAAAGTAACCACTAGTTCTATGACCTTCATAAAGTCATAACCTCTCATTTTTCCTACCCTTTAACATTAGGAATTATACATCGATGATTCAAATCACTTTCTTTGGAAGCTGAGGTTCCAAAAGAGATGTCCCTGAGGCAGTGGTGTGCTAGAGCCAGCTGGTACTAGCTCCTGAAAACCAGTTGCTCAATTTTTGAAAATTTGGCTCTCCTGCTCTTAACTGAAGCCATTATAAAAAATTAAATTACAGGCATATAAACATAATTAGATACATTATATTAAAAACAAAGGTAATAAATATTCAGAATTTAACAGTCAATTAATTTACTACATCAAATTCTTAATACCCTTGAGGTTGTTTGAGCAATTGTAGGTTTGGTGAAATAACTATATAATGGTGTATGTAATTCTGAGCAGCAGACCCAACTCCACCTTCAGTCTTGCCACACTAGCAGCTTAAAGCAGTGGAAGTATTCACGCCACGGAAATCTGAAGATGTTACAAATCAGGGCTCCCACCCCCAGAGCCAGTTGTTAAATATTTACTAGCAAACCACAGCCCAAGCCCAGAGAGGGAGTGAGTATGCGGGGGAAGCCCTAAAAAGAGACCACAGAATTGGAAATGCCCCAGGGCCATACCCCCCACCACCCACTTCAATCACAGCAGATGTGGTTTTGTTAGTTTTATATCTTAGGCTTCCATATGAGCCTTTGTTTAATAAAGGACTTCTGCTTTAAAAGAAAAATATTTTCAAACTCCTGCATTACAAGATTTATAAGGTCCCTTCTCACCTATTCATTTTTTTTCCTTCATGCATTTCATTTAACATTTACTGATGCTTACATTTTATGGTGTAGACAGGGGAACAGCTTGTTTGAAGTCAATTATGATATTAGTTAGTGTTCTACCCTCTTCCCAAGAAAAGGGAAAGAAAGTAGAATTACCATGAGTTGAGTTCCTATCGTTATCGTTTAGATGCTATCATTCTCATCTCTCATGAATAGCATTTGGATGCTAGTCATTCTCGTCACACCCACAGAAAAGGAAAACAAGATTCAGAAAGTTCAGAGACCTGGCCAAGGTACACGCAGGGAGCAAGCTGGCCATCTTTTTCACACCTCCTCCTGCGCACCTCACCAGACCTTGGACATTCCTTCAGCAAACGTTGATTGAGCATTTTCCATGTGCCTGACACTGTTCTAAATCTTTGATATACGTGTGTGAACTCCTGAAGAGGAACAAATCAAAATCAAATTGAGGCAGTAGAATGGGGTCTGGAGGCAGGAAACCTAAAACTTCCTAGAACTAAATCAAATGGAAATACTTCAGCAGTGACAGGAAATACCCTCTTTGTTTACATACGGTGTATACCAAGTAACCAATGGAAACCTCTAGAGGGTATTAAGCCCCCAAAAAATCTGTAATGGGGCTCTTGAGCGCCTATACTCAAGCCCACTTCCACCATGTGGAGCATACTTTCATTTTCAATAAATCTCTGATTTGTTGCTTCATTCTTTCCTTGTTTTGTGCGTTTTGCCCAATTCTTTGTTCAAGAATCCAAGAACCTGGACATCCTCCACCAGTAACAAAATGTTAGTATAGATTCATTAGGATTAGACCAAGGGAAGTATCCTTTTTGTAGTCCTGGCTTAGCCTCAGCCAACCAAAGAGCTGTGTCTCAAGCTAATTTGATTGTTTCTTTCTTTGCTTTGGAACCATACTCCCATTGACTTCCACACTGAGTGAAGGAGAAAGCAGGGCAGAAGAGGAGGTACCAGAATGAGGCATGAGCTTGTGAGAAAGTATTCATTAATAATAAAGTATGCACAGCATTTTGCTCACTCTCTGTAAAAATCGATAGTTTCAAAGTCTTCCCAACCAGCTGAATTTTCCTAACTCCTTCCAGGCTGCAGATGTGGGCAAATTGCCACACTCTAAACCTTCTCTCTCCTCTGGGTCTCATTTTTATCTCTGAACAGAACCTAGAGCCTTATCCCAACTGAGGTTGACTGGCTGATGACTTACTTGGGATTTGTCAAAGTCAGATTTTTATTTTTTATTTTTATTTTTTTCTTCTGAGGCAGAATCTTACTCTGTCGCCAGGCTGGAGTGCAGTGGTGCAATCTCGGCTTACAGCAACCTCCACCTCCCAGGTTCAAGCAATTCTCCTGCCTCAGCCTCCTGAGTAGCTGGTACTACAAGTACACACCACCATGCCCAGCTAATTTTTGTATTTTTAGTAGAGACGGGGTTTCATCATGTTGGCCAGGCTGGTCTCCATCTCTTGACCTGGTTATCTGCCTGCCTTGGCCTCCCAATTGGCTGGTTTTTTAAAAATATTACATTGAGTTTCTTTGATCTGTGATAAAGCAAGAAAGGACAAATCAAGAGTTTCTATTCCAATGTTCTAAATAGCTGGAACTGGGTAGCAGTTGTAAGTGTCTGCTGGGTGCCCAGAGCTATGCAAGCCCCTGCAGAGAGGGAGACAGAAAAGATCTAAGTGTTACGTGAGGACTGGGTCAGGAACCCAGACTATTAGCTCCCTCTCCAGTGCTCTTTCCCAGATTGCTCATTGCTTCTGATTGTGGTCAGCAACAGTTGCAGGGCTCCTGTCTGCTGTGCCCCAAGCGTCCTGCTGTGCATCCCCTCAGTGCCTCCAGCCAGCTCCAGACACCCCCCCAATCTTTGCCGCTTTCATCTACTTTCTCTCCATGCCCACCACCACTCACTCTGATTTGAGGGCTCCTGAAAGTCAAGACACGATACACAGGGTATGGCTCCGCCCTCCAGGTATTCAAAGTTACTTGGGTGACTGTTGTTACATCTTTAGGAGGAGTGTGAAGTTTTGTTACGAATTCACCCAAACATACCTACTTTATCCCCTTCTCTTCTCCCAGGGTCCTGAGACTTAAACAAAGCTCTCTATTCCTAGGACAGGTGACTTGGCAGAAAGCCTGTGAACTCTTTTGAGGAAGGTGCAATGGAGGGTAAGAGAGTAATAGTCAGTGTTCTTCAGAAAAACAGATCAATAGGAGATATGCATACATATGTATGTATATATATATATATATATATA